AATGGAATGTTACATGGAGATCCTCAAAGGATGATCCATCGGTTCGAATCGACAGCGCGAATAACTGTTAAACGGCGAGCCGCGTTTAAGGCTTCCCCGATTGCACCTGTTTACGACAACACGGCGCGTTCGATAATCGGAATCGAATATGTCAGTCGCTCAGTTCTAGCGGATCACGCACATGCACATTACAACTTGATGGAGTAGGATGGGAGAAAAGACTGGCTCTAGGGAGTCGATGCCATTGATCTGCTCGATCTATGGGAAGCTGGACGCTCGCAAATCAACCACCACCACACTCGCGCGAGCGTGTATTCGGTTTTGTACATACATGCGTGCAGTACGATCGCACGCTTCTTGTCATTGCGTTACTGCTTCAGTACATATTCATCCGCCAATCAAGAAGTAAATCGCGATATCGAATAATCTGATACGGAATGGCGTTGTTTTTTCTTAACTTTACAAGATAACCTTCGTGAAATTTCGCGAAATAAATTTCACTTTTTTTTCATGTCGTATACATATAATGCCATGTACGTGCTCTTTCTAACAATGAGCTTGACACGCTATTTGAATTCAGCAGCTTTATGTTTCTGCGTGAAGATCGAATAAAACTGCCGATCGAAGTGATCCAGTTTTGTAAGAAGCATCTAAGATCTGATATCGTGATTCTTATTGCTTTACAGCAAGCGTAATTCCGGCCGCACGTATTCAGACATCGAAGATCGATTTGGTGGCCGTGACATAACTCACTAAACAAAACGAACGCGCAACGCGGCAAACGGTGGTTGACAAAAAACAAAAGCAAAAGCCAGAAAAAATAGAGCGAGAGGGAAGAGAGTTAGGCGACGAGAAAGAGAGAGAGAGGCTAGTGTGAAAAGAAGCGGTAAGAGAGACTGGGACATTTCGATAGACGTAGTGAGCGGTAGAGAAATAGAGAGAGAGAGAGAGAGAGAGAGAGAGAAGCAAAACGCGCGTAGAGAAATGAGAGAGCGAGAGAGAGAGAGAGAGAGAGAGTGTAGGAGCACCACGCGCGAGTAGCGAAAGCTGCGCAAAAAAACCGCAACGCGAAATCCGGACGCCCCGGAAAAAAGGGGCAAAAAGCCAGAAAAAAATAGTGGAACGCTCAACCCCGTCGGCGCATCCCCCTCGCCCCGTCCGATGGTCCGATGGGGGGAAATGAAATCGACAGGGCGTCCACCTATCGGTCCGATGCCACGTACACAATCCCGCGCTTGCATGTAGCATCCTCAACACATGTCGGCGGATTGCTTTGTCCACGTGCATTACGATACACCAGAGCGAACGCCCCCGCTGAGCACACACATTTACGCGTTCTCTCTTTCTCTCTCTCTCTCTCTCTCCCTCTCGCTCTCTCTCTTCTCGCGCGCGCGCGCGCGCTCCAGCCGATCCATGCGCCGGTGTGTTGACGGCGCGTGTGTACCCCGACATAACTAAACAAGCAACAAGTGACCTTAAAATCTACGAATAAAAATACCGGCCACACTGATCGGATATCGTGCGCAGCTGCAACAGAGGCGCGAAGGGGTGAAACTGGGTGAGGGGTGCGCTTCGCCGCGCCAAGGAAGCTCGGAGTATAATTGTGCGCAACCGGAATGCAAACATTATGATTATATTGAGAAAAAAACAAGAGAAAGAGAGAGCGAGAGAGAGAGGAAGAGGAGGAGGGAGAGAGCGAGAGAGAAAGTAGCGGCAAGATGCATCGCGGAGAAATGTTTCGTCAATTAAAAGCGGACGCGGGGGCCAGCTGTTCTGATTATATTACCCGGCCCGTTTCTCCACTTGTTCTCTTCTTTTGTCAAATACAGACGCGATTATTACAGGCAGGTTAACGAGCGCGCGCTGCCCAGCTCGATTTCCTCGTTAATACGCGCTAAATACTGAACGTGGAAAAGCCGGCTAACGCATTCCGACTTTTCCCAGCGGAGATTCGTTGTTCTAATTGATGCGTATAAAGCGTATTTACGGTGCAACAAATAATTTCACGTTGGAGGAAGCGTTATTGCAAGGATCGACGGACCAAGTCGATAAAAAGCTATTTCATCGATTTCGAATTAATATAGAAAAGAACGTCATGCATGCAGTATCGATAAATCGCGACGGCATTTCTGAAATATTTTTTATGCAATCGCTAGAGCAATAAATTTTAGCAAAATTAGGTTATGAAAACGTCTATATAACTGCAATAATACAGATCTTATACTTTCTATTATATGCTAACATAATCGCTCTTATATTATATACGAATGTAATCATTCTTAATTCGTGCTAATTTAATTCAGACCAGGGGACTCGTAAAAGATGTAATTGCTGCGATATCACTTTTCCGCCCTCGCCACCGCCGCCGCGGCCGCCGCAATTATTTAACGTTGCGCCGCGAGAGAGAGAAAAAGTGGACGTGCAGTCTTCGTAAAGAGGGCGAGTTTCTTCCCGCGGCACTAGCATAGTAAGAAGCAACAAGTGACCTTAAAAACTGCGGGGATAAAAATACTGGCGGTTGATCGAAAGTTTTGCACGCCGCCGCTGAGCCAGCGGTAGAGATTGGGGTATGATTGGGTAAGTGGGCTTTTCGGGAGGGGGTGGGGGGTTGGGGAACGCGGCAGGAGGGAGGGTGTTGTAAAAAGTGGTATAACACTGAGACGCAGGTCTCTGAACCCGGGCGCACACATCGTTTCGTATATAGTTTTCGGCCCGTTTATTCGCATATCGCGCGCTATTGATGAAAATATTTCTCCGCGCTACGGGAGAAATCGCTTTCGGCACGTCGAACCTTTGAGGAGGATATGTCGTTTGTATAGTCAATAATTTCAGCTTAAACGATTGTAATTCCGGCTACGGTACAGCGAGCACGGAAAATAAAATAAAAAACATTGTCAGAGAAGAACCCCGTTACGCTCCTCCCGCGTTTTCACGAGCTTTTCATTTTTGACGTTAATTTTGGTATTTGATATGCATCTCGCAATACACGCGAGGAGATACAAGAAAAAGCTTTCGGCTCTTAATTAGAGATATTATTCCAAACTTTTCACTATTTACGCTTGATGAATAATTTACATACTCTTGGCGAACAAATCGCGATTTCAGTGTAGGGCATGGGGGCGTCGAGCTTATTTAATACCACGATTAACTTTCTTTTGCGGATCAAGTGACATGAAATTGATATACGAGATTCTTCGAAGATAACGAAAGGTAATCGCGTCATCGAACGATATTCTGTCGCGCTGACGCACATAGTGTAGGGATACGAAGGGGCTATACGAGAGCACGTATAGCGTGCGGCGATCATTAGAGCAAAGGTGGCAGATTCCAACCCCTTTTCCTCGTTAGTTCCGCCGGCGACCGCCTAAGCAGGAGCTCGCCACTGTCCAGCAACCCTTTCACCACCACACGCCGCTCTCAACCCCTTAGTACGCTACGTACAAGGACGTCTACAGACTCGCGGTGATTTTTCTTCGGCGTACTACCACAGCCCCGCCGCCGCCGCCGGCGCTTCTCACCACTACGCGGACACGCGGGCGCCCCATCGGGCGCGCGATACACACATACGCGCGCGCGAACACATACGCACGCACGCACGCACGCACGCACGCACACATGGGCGGCGGCGAGGAGAGGTTGCGCGTGTCCTCGTTTCGCGTATCGAAAGGGTGCCTCGGAGCCTCTCTTTTGCCGGCGATCGCGCATGACCGAGCACCCGCTCGCCGTCTCGCTCGCGCCCGCTTCCGTCCTGACCGACTAAATTATAGGTCCGCTCGCTTGTTTATTCACGCTTAATTACACGAGAGCCTCGCGATGCTCCGTAACGCGCGCGTTGCAGCTGAAAGAGAAGGAGGAAAATAAAAGGAGGATCCGGATCGGTGTAACATCGAGCGTATCCCTCGAGCGATCGCGCGCGATAATTGCGCGAACCTTACGTAGGTACATATACATTCTTCTTTCAAAAAGACGACACTCGATCTCCTCGGATTTTTCGACGACGATCGAGTGACGAGAGGGAAGAGTCCTTCGAGGAGAGAGGAATCGTAGCTTTTTTTCCCCCCCCTTCGAATTTCGAGTCTCTAAACTTTCACGCCCGACTCAACGGGTCGAAGGTGAGCGTTCGAGCGTATACGTGCGTCTCACCGTTACGCGTATATACCGAACACGCACACCATCGTCGCCACGGAAATACCGATGTTACACCTCGTGGTATCCGCATGGCTCACACGCACGCATTCGGAGAGTCGTCGGTGTGATAAAACGGCGGTCTCTCGCTCTCTCGCACCTGTCCACTCTCGCCGCGTCCTGTCTCCCTCTTCCTTCGTGTATACCTTCGTAGAGGGTCGGTGGTCAGCTAGGCAGCGGGTGGGAGGGAGGGCGCTTCTCTTTCTCCCTTTCTCCCTCGCGCGCACCCTCCGCCACGTCTCCGCCGCTTCCGTCTGCGTCGTGCTTGCCCCGCCGGCGCGGCGGCGGCGGCGGCGGCGGCGGCAGGGCTTTCCTCTCTTCTCCGCAGCCTCCGCAAGCTCCGTCTTCCTCCTACGATCGCTGTCCGGCCGCGTCTCGAACGAGTTCGGTGGCGCTCGTATCGTTCGTCGTACATATCCGTGCGTCCTCGTCGCGCTCGGGCCGCGGAAACGGGAAGACCATTGCGCCCCGTCTCTCTCCAGCTCACGTATATATATATGTATATACGCGCGGCCGCCTGCATGCCCCTGCCGACCCCTGCTCCGTATACGTCTACCGTGCGGCGATTCCGTCGCGAGCTTACACGATCGGGATCTTCCTCGTCGCACCGCCGATTCACCCGTTACCCCCCACGAGACTCGCGCCAGGAGCGCTGACGGGGCCACCGTCACCCCGGGGGTAAGACGTTACGTACGGATTCGAAATCGGACCGATAACATGTAGTATCTCAATCTTAGATTCGTATTTAAATGCAGTACTCTTCGTATTAGATAAGTACAAAATTGCGCATCTTTTTTTCCAACGCCAAAAGCACGATGCGAGATGAACTGATCGAAGCATGGATCTCGAGGAAATCTCGTATATAATCGCGAGTATCGAACATATCTCGATCTCGATCGATTTCGGCGCGAGCACCCATCAAGCGAATGAATCTCGCAGTTAACGCGGGCCTCCGCGCGGAAAAAACGCGCGATCCGCGCCGGCCCTTAAATAAGTTACGGGCAGGCCAGTACGGGCGCAGCGTTAATCGACGTAAACGGCGTCTCGCATAAATCTTCAATTTTACCGCTCCGGGCGGTCGGGGTTCCCGCGCGTAGAGTTCCAGCGCCAAGGGGCGGTCCTGCTCCCGCGGCACTTTTCTCTGTCCCTCTTTGCCCTGGCGCGGCGCGCGCGAGGCGAGCCGTATCTCGCACACCAGCAATCCCCGCGCGTCAACCCTTCGCCGGCAACGGCAACCCTCCGCGCGCCCGTCCGTCCGTCCGTCCGCTCGCTTCGCCGGTCCTTCTCTTCGGCCGGCGCGGCGCGGCGCAGCGCGGATCTTCTTTCTCTCGTTCGTTTCCCACCGCCTGGCCGTGTCCCGATCTCTCACGCCGCCGACAGCGCGCCGTCCTCGTCCCACGTACTGGGCCGCCTAGGAGAAGCAGCGACGGAGCTTGCGACGGCGCGCGGTAGAGGCGCCACCGTACGGGGCAAAGTGGCCAAGAGGGGCCACCGGCTTGCTCCGCCGCTGGCCGGCGCGCGGTAGTTCTCTCCCTTCGGCTTACAGCATCCGCCGGAGCTTCTCCTCTCTCCGCCTACGTGGTGCGAGTGTGCCGTGTGCGCCAGTGCGCCCGCAAGCCCGAAAGTTCGCGCTCCGCCACGCAGCCCAAGCTCTCTCTACCCGCGCGCTGATCGGCCACGTTCGTCAGGCCGGGAGCCCCCACGTAAAAAGAGGCACCGGGGCCGCGCGCGCGAGCCGAGGAAACGGACGAGAAAAGGAAACGATTTGTTTAACGTAATATATTTAGAAAAAAATTAAGAAAAAGAAAAGTTCGGTTCTTTTTTCTTTTTTTTTTTCGTTAAGTAAAAAAAAATATATAAAAACACCGGAAAAGAAAGTTTCGCGACGAGGAAAACGTAGCAAAGGGAAGCAAAGGTGCCCCGGGGGAGGACTTTTTAACTGACGCGGCTCGACGTGCGTATATAATAGATACTGTGATGTTGAAAGCTCGCGCGAGAGCTTGCAGTGAGCGAGGATCGAAGAGGATCGTCAGCCTGCCGGCTTCGAGTGCGCCGATGTTGTGAACATCTTACCCGTCCTCGTCCTCCGAACTTGTCTCCTTGGGATCGGCGCGACAAACAGGTGAGTGCCGAGCGTTCGACGAGCGAAGGGGAGACGGGTGTTCCTCGACCCTTCCTCGTTCACTCTTTCCATTTCTTTCTCGTTCCGCGCGTCACCGGCCGCGAGAGTTTCGCCCTACACCGAATCCCTCTTTCTGTCTCGATCGCACGCGAGTGCAATCATTCACGATCCTTCGGCGCTTCGTCAATCGTTCTACTATCTGTCGCGGATTACGCTTCGCGAAAATTAAGCTGTCGAAACTTCTTAGCGCGATTCGAAAGGAAAAATGATTTGGGAGAAAACGTCATCGAAGTTTTTCTCTCGCCACGGCAAACGCGGACTTTTACTCTCTCATTTTACTGCAGATATGATCCTATTTTAATACTAAACACACACGATGTAAGAGTGATACGAGGACACAATATAAGGGAGAACGGAAGGTTTCCGCGATAAAAGTGGAGATAAGATACAGAGACGCGCGTTGACTCTTTTCGCGCCTCGGCGAGAGTCAGAGAAAAAACGGAAACTTGCGTTCGAGGCTGAATACATACGCGAATTTTATACGTGATTTTAAGCAATCGTCGTCGTCGTCGTCGCCGCGACTGCACTTGCTTTCTTATTCAGTGGAGGGACACGCCGCTCGCGAGAAGCGGCGCGTCTTTCTCGCTAGTGAAACACTCGCTTATTTTTCTCACGGTGTCTGACTACGCGCTCCGTTTCCCCTTAGGCCACTTAAAACGCCCCGCGCGGAGGAGAGGCATCTTCCCGATCGTGATGTTGGTGATGTTGACGGTGACGGGTGTGATGTGTGCTGGTGCTAACTCTGTGTGCTCGCGTTTGACAAATTAATACGTTAACATACGTATGTACGTCGCGTAAAAAGAAACGGCAACGAGACGGCGATCATCGACAGTGACAGCGTCGAGATCCGTGCCGTGGGATTCGTTATCTCTTCGATCGTATGGTGCTCCTGACTAATGAAACAAGAACGATCGGTGCGATTGGTAAATAAGAAACGCCGTGCAATGTAATCGCGCTAATAATGAATAATTGCGCGACTCTTTATCGAAACGGGATGCGCTGAGGTATTTATCGTGTCGAATACCTCAATGGTCTAATCGCGCTCGGGTTGTTGAATCGCTTACTGAAGTTCGCGCCGCTTTGACATCACCCTGTTCTCTCGGCAATTGAAAAAAAGAATACGAGTGGAAAAATGTGCTACGCGTTATTAAAGTAACGTCGAAAATATTTTTCAAATTATAACAACAAACTAATTATAATATAACAATAATGGAACAAATAACGTACGCGATACAATAAGTATTTTCGTTCTATAGAGAAAAGCGGTGTCAGAGGTGTACGATTAACTTAAATTTCTACGTAAAAGTCGCGTTGCGGGAAATATTTAACACAAGTGTTCAAGAAATTGAGCCAGAGCATATAAATGTAGAGAATAAAAAGAGTAATAAACGAGAGTGATAATAATGAGTGATATACGCGTTAGAAAAAAATCATTTTTAAACAAGCCGCGTGTGACAAGCGCATTGAGCTCTAAAATACTCGCAGAATTACATAACGTAAAAGCGCTGATAAATAAAAGGGAATTCGAAACGCGTGATAATTCGGTAAAACTTATCAGAAGCATCTTCGTGACAGTAGGTATGGCCGGCTCCTGTCAGCCGGAAAAGCGGAGATGTCAAACATTGTTCCGACGGCAGCCGTTTAACCCGCGACAGGCCGGGACGGACGCAACGCGCGCGCGGATTCGTTTTTAAATCAATAGCATAGACCTCACCGTGGCTATTCTCAAACGCGACATAAGCTGAAATGTTATATAAATAACCAGTCATTTATATAGGGAACATATCAATTCGCCGATTGATAAATAATGCCTCGCGAAAGTATACGCTAAATCCAATTAACGTTTCGAAAATCAGCATCGTTTTTCATTGCATTCAAGTATTTTTGTAACTGTTCGAGAGTCAGATTATCGAGTTAGATTTTTTGCTATAATTGTGAATTACATTCCTGGATTTCGTGAAAGAGAAGGAGGAATCACGGTGGAGCAAAATTTGCAAAAAGTGAGAGAAGAATTGTATAGTAATCGGTGTTTTATGTAACGCTTAAATGTGGTTTCATCACTCTCCGCTTCCCTTTTTGCTGATTATCGTAAAACAGAGATTCGCACGTGGACACTCTGTTTCGGGTGTTCAAAAGAGTTTCGGAAATCTCTTGTTTTTATCGTATACACTTAATTGAGACGACGAACGGTGATGTATCCATGGAACACTGTTGTCAAGATGTCGTTCGAGCGGTCGTCCGTATTGAACTAAGATCACGGGAAAGGGTAACCGAGTGTCAACCAGGAAGTCCAGTAGAACCAGTTTCCCGTCGGTTCGGGCGCACGTTTGAAAGAGAGAGAAAAAAAAGAACGTCCGGTTTTGGTGCGAAAGGGTTTCAGTAAAGCGCGCGGCGGAACTGTTTTGCTGTCGGAATGCCGCGTGCAGTTAGCGGTTCGATCGATGGTCGCGTATAAACAGCTAATAATCAAACGAATCGTGTCATAAACAATCCCCACGGTGGGGGCGGTAGGGTGGTGGTAAAAGTATAAATGAGTGTCGATTGGTAGTGGGGTGTATAGCCCCAGGGGTGGGGGTGGCGGCTTCGAAAAGCGCAGAAAAGCTTGACCCGCATAAAAATTTGTTTCGATACATCCGCGGCCCCGCGATTCGCTCTCTCTCCCCCCCCCTTTCTCTCTCTCTTTCTCTCTTTCCCTCTTTGTGACCGGAAGTGTTTAGTTAATAAAAGAAGCCTGTCTATAAAGTAGTTTCTAGAATGTCGACCCGTCGTGATATTCGACATCCACATCATTGCAAGTTTCGGACGAAACGTAGTATAACTGTCACGGATCTCGAAACTCGAGCATCTGTTTCTGGAGGTTTCCTTTGATTTTTAACTCGTTTAATTATGGACGCGGATTATCTAAAAGCTACAGAATAACCCTGTCAAATTGAGTCACTCTGTGAAATTGAGTCACTCTGTGAAATTGACATTAGTTTTCCAAATTTCGGGCAAATATAAACGAAATCGTATGCTCTCATTCTCTCAGGCATTTAAATTGGTATATCTCATAGTCAAAGGATCAAGCCTAAAAGAACTTCGTGATAACGTAAATCAAAGCTCATTCCTGTGTACGTTCAAATATGTATTAAACGATAATTCTCAATTTTCGGACAAAGTAATTGTTTGATGATATTCCAAGAGGAACTTTATCAATAATTTCATTCATAAATATTGTTTTTCATCTTTTCCAACATAATTTCAAATTACATAATTGTTTTGCGGTATTTTATGACTACATCTTTTTTTTGAATAAATTTCCGTTTGTACTAAAATTACTGTTTTTTGTCGCGTGAAACTTACGATACTTTTGCTTTAGTGACGTTTTATTATTAATAAAAATGCAAAAATAAAAAGGTTTTTCACTTTTTGGATACGTTAACGTTGACGGTATTGAAGATTATAATTTCACACACTTTTAATTTGAATATTTTTAAAAATTTTATTTGTATCGCATTTTCAAAATTGCGTTTTTATTTGTAATTGTCAGAAGCTAAAAGAATGATACAGTATATTCGATGCGAAATCTTGTACATAATGTAGCACAGTGTGACCCGCTTTGAGAATTTACAAGCGAATTTGTCAATATACCATTTATGGAAAATATCTTCCGTCTTTATTTATGAACTCTACACGTTTACAGATTTCGCGTTTAGCTTATGAACAAAGATTTATAGAATATCGAGAATTAGATTCTTTTTCGGGAAGGAAGCAATTTCGCAAAAATGTCACTTAAATAAAATAATATCACAGAAAATCTGACGTAAATGAACAATACTAGACTATATTCCATGCTCCTTATGTCATCTCCATGCCAATTTGTTGTTGTATCTGTTAAATTTTTACATCGCATCGCAATATATCTGTCATTGTCATCTTTCGTAGAATTCCCCGTATCTTCGTCTCAATCAGCATATTATCGCGTGTCTAATTTTCTCTGTCCATCCTCGCGTGAACTTTAAAGCGGTTTACTCGGTATCTTTCCGGAACAGAACTGCCGCAATGAAAAGCCCGTGTGACAGGTGTGACATTAATCTTTCACGAAAAATATATAGGAAATATATGAAAAGTTGAAGAGGAAGTCGAAAATGCACACATATATCGCATCCGTTCTGGGGAGATACAAACGGTCCTTTATTCTTATCTCGCACTGGACTCGTCACTGTCACCCGTCACCATCTCCCAAATGAGAACTCTATCCGCCAACGGAAAAATACCAGAGTATCGACGACAGCCAAGTAAACGTGCCGGGTCGCGGAGCTTATTATCCCGGAAAGAAACGCGGCGAAAGTGATCTTGTCGGTGCGTCACATCGGCGCGTGACCAGGACGGGACGTACGTGTTATAGTCGTCGAAGATCGATGCGCCTGAAACCGTTCAAAAAAATGAAACAATATATACGGCCACCTTTCCCCCTCCGTCCTGCAAAAAACCACGAGGTCGGTCCTGTTGTTGTCGTCTCTCGCAGTGGGAAAACGCCATGCCAAGGGTGGGGAATATGTGTACTCCGAGGGTGAACGGTATGATAACGTCGAACGCGGGTCGACACGCGATGTATCGGCGAAGAGAGGAAAAAATGAGGGGGGGGGAGAGGGAGAAGGGGGCCAGTGGGGGTTGTGAAGGTTGCCCCCGAAAGAATCGAAAGTTTCGTCGAGTCGTATAGAGATCCGTCGGAGCAGCGAGGCGAGGAGGATGGGGTGGACGTAGGAAAAGGGGTTGGGGTGACTCGAGGCTGCTTGCTTGTAAGAGTCCGGTGGCACGGGTAGTAGGGGGATACATCGGCGGATCAGGGGTAGAGTGACGGACGGGAGAGGGTGGTCTCGGGAAGAACGCGCGTTGTAGAGGGGATGCGAGTCGAGGGTGAGTGGGTTAACTGCAAAACCCGATCGTCCGTGTTTTTA